ACTTTCCCCTCGACATCTGTGTGCGCATTCGAGGGCTCAGAGTTTTCGGTCATAAAGGATTTACACGGATGTTAACAGCAGAGGCTGACTAAAATATGTAAAATGCTACAATCCACGTTTATGGATAAGCAGGAGGAGGAACACACCCCCCATCCGAGCCCAGAGCCCAGACCCCAGACGCGTGGAAGCCCTGTTTAAATTTGTTGTCATTTTTGTTTTCACTCAATGGCTGGGGAGGTGGATGAGGATGCCTCCTGGGTGCTGTGCTCTGCGTCCTGGGCTGTCAGTAATGCTTGAACGCCTCTTGTGAGCACCACTTGACAGCTTTCTGCCTGCCTCCCCCCGCTACGAACTGTGTGAAACATTCGTCACTTCAGTTCACGTGATGGGATCCCTGGGATCCCGGACATTGCCTGCTGATGTGTTTATTATGTGCCTCTAATATATTTATGAGGCGTCTTATAAACGCATTTTCATTTTATTTACATTGCCTCCTGTGCCTCATGTCCTCCGTCAATCCCTCAATCACCATTCTACACATACATAACGAATATAGAAAGAACAATCAAAGCAGCAAAAATAATGCCTGCCTGCCCCTAAGGTATTTTTGGGTCTCTATTCAAAATAAAAATAAAATAGAAATTTGATTTCAAATTCATTCAGACATCTTTTGCCGTGCCGTGCCTTGCCAGGGTTTGATTTTTACTTCTGCATGTGTCTGCTTGTATGTACATACATATATTTATCATACGCACTGTGTGCCAGTGTGCCTGTGTGTCTGTGTGATGATGCGCATAATTTCCTTATGAATTTATATAGGGGAAATTATTTTTAGGGCTATTTTGTCTCAGCAAGTGGCTTAATCGAATGATGGTTGCAGCTACGGCAGGGGAGAGGAATCTTCGGTGTAAATTCCAATTTTGATTAAATATTTCTTTTGGGTGTGAAAATTTTCTGGGATTTACCCTTATATTTATACTGTGGAATTTAAATGTGTCCTTTAAATAGGATTTCGCTAAGGTTAAAAGCTATTCAACGAATCAAACTTTAAGGCATGAAATATCCCATAAAAGCTGCAATGGATAATTGATACCCTAACCTGTAAGTTCTTCAAAATTTGAACTCTTCAATGCGAATATCCTGCTGCAGAGCCACAATTTTCTTTTGATTTCATTAGCTCCGGCAATGGCCTGGGCACTTAGCTCATGGAATACTCTCGTTAGCGTTATGAAATTTCATTTCATTGGCAGCTCTTAAACTACCAGTTCTTACCCTTCCTTACCCTTTCATCTCTTTAAGGACTCTCTCACTCTGTATCTGCCGCTCTAGAGTAATTTAGAATGCTTAAATTAGCCCATTCAGGTCATGGGGGTTGCTCGGGTGCTGCAGCAGTAGCAGTAGGCAATGAATGCTGTCATAATTATGTGAAGGAAAAGGAAAAGCCCCGCATGAAGAAAGGAAACTATCGCGGCAGCCATTCAGCTGCAGGCCAACGAGGGGCTTTACCAGCCACACCCCTCAGCTAGCTCTCCCTCTCACTCTATCTCTCTGTCTTTTGTTCTGTATGGTAGCTATCTATCTTTTTCCCTCACGCATATGTACGGGTGGGTACGTTGAGGTCAGGTCCAGGACGAGGGCAAGCCATGGCATGGCATTTACTTAATTGGCGTTTAAAACTGTAAAATGCAGTTCCACACACACACACACACTGGCACATACACGTGTCCTGTAAGCTCTCTCTTATGTGAATGTGCCCCGTGTCCGTGTCGTGACTTGGCAAGGACACAAGCAGCAGCAGCAGCCGCTGCCGAGGAAATGTGAAAAATGAGGCAACAAAAGCGCGTCGGAAAGGCAGCACACACACGTATATTTATAGCTGTAAATGTGTGCATGTGTTTGTATGTGTGTGTGTGTGTGGCAAATACATAAGAGCAGCTTACGGCTGCATTTGTTGGCCCCAAAGCCTTTTTTGGCCAAAGCTAATGGTCTTGGCCGCCTCTTGTCGCTCACCAAACACCACACCGAAAAATGCTGGCGCTTTTTATGTGCCATTAATAAACTCCGTGCATGGCTAGTGTGTGCTTAGAAGGTAAATGAGAGACCTGAAGGATACCCTGGAATGGTTGGGTTTGGAAACGAAATTATGGAAAAAATCCTTCAAAGAGGAATTCAATTTACTAAATGCAATCAAAATCGCACAAATATGACGAAAAATTGCTTACAAAATTTAATATATTATCGGTAACTGTTATTGCTGCATCGATTTCTCTCAAAAACGAATCAGTAATCGAGGGGGATGTCAGCTAATTAATAATAATACTCATTCAATGTGTCCCACATATTTACTTGAATTTCATTCCCATTTTACTCACTTCGATGATTCAATTTTGCTCAATAACGAATCGTTAGATAATAATAAACTCAACATTTATTTCGGTTAATTATTTACTAAGCTTTTTTGAGCATTTTCGCACCACAGAAAGTCACTCCAAATTGAACATCCCATTCGATATGATTCCTCAATAAATAATCCCCTCCCCACCATACACCTCTATGCCTTATTCGTTTCCAATTCGATATGGGAATTGGAATAATGAAGTATCCCTTAAGGTCTCGCTGTAGGCCTGCCCAGTCATAAATTATCCACAGTACTGGACTCTGCAGCAACTCGAATGCCAAACTACTTTACCGAAAATCGTTGCAGTAGGGAGGGGTGGGGATTTTTGCCAAAAACCAAACTTCATTCGCACATAAGTCCAAACACGTGTTTTGAACGCCAAGAGATTTAAACAGAGGCAGAGAAATGGCCAGGGGAATATTAGAAAGAGAGAGAGGGCAGAGTGGATAGGGAGAGTGGATAGGGAGGAGTGGGCTGGCGTGGAGCTTCGCTCAGAGCACTCTTCTCATGCAGGAAATTGTGGTCTTTCGTGGCACAAATTAGCGGCATTAAATCGAGGTAGCCTGAGGAGGCCCGAGGCGAGGCATGGCCTGGCACAAAACGGGATAATGACCAGAGAATGCGTTCAGTGTTCAGTGGCGCTACAAACTGCTATCGCTGTCGCTGTCGTCGTTGTCGCTTTCCCGTTCCCGTAGCTGGCGGCATTTTCTCATTTTAATTGATTTAATCGGCTTTGGCGGAGCGCATGTGTCACGGATACACGAACACACACAGGAATACCCATACACCTCATTCCTCATTCCCGATACTAGCCCATACCCGATACTCAGCCTCCTCTCATTTTCTATGGCCTGCACTGTACTTTGATGCTCATTAAAAATGCTTCGTGCTTTGTTTTTCTATCCTTTCCCCCCTTCTGTGTGTTTTTTTTTCTTTTCTTCCTTTTTGTTTGACTCATTTCCGGTCTATTGACGTATAAACAATTTTTGCGCATTAATTGAATCGCCATGTTGGATGCTAAGTGTGTGTGTCTCAGTGTGTGTGTGTGTGTGTGTGTGTGTGAGTGCGTGGGTGTGACATGCACAAGCCAAATTAATTGGAGCTCCACACACACACGCTAACACAGATACGCATTCACAGCAGTTACGCACAGATTCGCCCCCTCATACAACCAAAAGAATGGGCGACTTTTATGCCCTTATCGAAGGGTATATTGGTTGGAAAGGTGGGCTAGGGGGGGCAAGCTATTAAATACTTTTCATTAGTATTTGCCTTACCTTCTGCTGCATTTACCCTGCCTAGCTTAGATTTCCCGTCTGACTCGCTGACTCCACCTCAAACCCCAAAAACCTCTCTTTCTAGGTTTTTGTTTACTTGCAACAAAGGCAACGAGCGTCCTAATGAAGGTTTAATTAGCAAACACACACGCACGCACGCAGAGCGAGAGAGAGAGAATGGGTTGGGGTGGGGTGTTGGTGGAGAACACACAGAGACACGCAGAGAAGATGGATTCCTCTCCGCTAGCATTTCTATTATTTTTATGCTCGCTGTGTCTGTGCTCCCTCTCCACCCCTGCGCTGGCTAATTCCCAATTTTAATTGCTTTATTTGATATTATTTCGTGTGATTGATTGATTGATTAAATTAAGCGAGGAAATATAATTAGGAAATTAAGAAAAACTAAGACTTTTCCCATGCTGTTTGTTAAAGTTAAGTTGCAGTCAGCCCTTCAAACTTTAAGCTTGGAATATCATTTAAATTTATGAAAGTATGGCAACGCTATGTAGATATTTTCTATGCCCTTTAAAATAGTTAAAACTACCAACAGTCACATCAAAGCCACATCAGCCTTGAAATATTCCCGGCTAAAAAATCCCCCAAACTAAAAAGAGCTGCCCCACATCAAATCTCTAAACACACGGAAAAGCCCCCCCGACAGGTCTAAGCGACTTAGTGTGGAGCGGGAAGAAGCGGAGAACCGCAGCAAAATAACTGACAAAAAGCGAAACAAAAACAAAAAGCGAAAACTAAAAAGCAAAAACATATTTTTAAGCCTTGGGACAAATACAAACACCTGCCGTACGACAGGCTGTCCAAAAAGGGGCGAATATATTTGACAGCCAGAGAGTCGAGGGTGGAGAAAACACAAAAACAGGATGCGGAAACAGAAGGAACATCTGGGGGACACATGCTGTTAATAATTGGTTAGGTGGAGAGCCGAAAGCTTTCCCAAAAACTTGTCACTCAACCGAGTACCGAGTAACGAGGCGGCTGCTGGCTGTAGTCTGCTGGCTTCTCTGTACTTTTCCAAACCAAAACTAATCCTCTGACAAGAACAATGCACAGAGTTTTCCATGTAAATTCCCCACCAGTAAAGCACTTGAAATGCCCCAAATTTGCCATGGTACTTCCTGGTGCTTCCTGGTTTCGCCTGGTTCCGCCTTGTTCCTGTTTGCCGCTCGAGTTATGAATAAACTGAATTTTTATGAACATTTCCTTTTTGCGTGTTCGCTCGCGAGCCATAAACTGTTTTTTTTTGTTGTTGTTGTTGTTGTTTCTTCTCATGCTCCAATTTTTCGCCCCACTCTTTTACTCTTTTGCAGGACCTACAATCGGAAATTGAAACCCATCGCGTGGTGTACGATCGTCTCGATGGCACTGGGAGGAAACTTTTGGGTTCGCTCACCTCGCAAGAGGATGCGGTTATGCTGCAGCGTCGCCTCGATGAAATGAATCAGCGTTGGAATAATTTAAAATCGAAAAGTATTGCAATCAGGTAAGTGCTTTTTGACTTGTTTGTTTTTGTTGTTGTTGTTGTTGCTGTTGTTGTGTTTTTTTCTTATTTTCCTGCCTCGCCCTACCCTGCCTGACTGCCTGCCTTTTTTCCTGCTGAATCCTGTAAGAGCCTTCGGTTCTATGGGTTTTTTATTGTTGTTGTGTGTGTCTGGCAGTGGAGTGGCAGCGGCAGCGGCAGCGGCGGTTGAATAGAATTTAAGTAGCTTTTGTGTAGTTTTTTCGGTGCTTGAACGCATAAATTGTTGGGGGTGAATAAGTTGCTTGGGTCCTTTAAGCAGCAACAGTGCGTATGATGAATCAGCAGGATTACACAGAAAAATATATTAATCATGCAGAAGGCAACCATTACCTTACCTTTCCCTCCTTTAAACATTAATTAAACTCCCAAGAAAATGTTAACCATAATTAAAATCCTTTTTATTCCGTATTCCTTATGCCTTAAGGGGGAGGCGGACTGAAACAATGCCACAAACTGGAAAGGGGGCGCAGAAAATCAATATTAAAAACGAAATGCGTGAAAAGTGATGGAAAATGCGTGGAGGCACCGGCACCGGGGCACCATTGGACCTTGTCATTCGATGAAATCGAGTGCAAACAGTTGCCTGGCGTGGCCGGGCCGGCGTGGCCCTCGCATTCTGGCGGACGGCTCCTCCATTTGACCTGTTTGTAATTTCCACATTTCATAAATAAAATCGTTGGAGTTCGGCCTCGTCCCACAAAGTCCACAAATATTGGGACGGGACGCTTGTTGATATCGATGCCGTGCCGTGCCGCGGCTGATGATGAAAGTCAGATGCCATGTTTACAGTACGTGGCGCAGGAGGGAGACCCAGGGATCCAGAGACCAAAATGAATAATGATGATGGTGACACGCAGAAATGCGCTGAATGAGGACCAGGCCACGGCGGCCTGTTCGCATAATGAATATAAATGGCAATTATCCAATGGACGAGGCAACAAGGCGTATACGTGATGGCTGCAGCCCAGAGGGCAGGCAAGCGAGCGACCCAGCGAGCGCGCTTCAAAAGTAGGCAACGATTATTTTTATACACGCGGTAATCAGAGGGTAATATCTCAGCACAGGGAGGGGTATGTTGTGCCATGAGGAATGGCCGGGGGAGAAGATGGTTTCCTTCTGGAAGGGCCATCAACAGAGGTGCATATTCTCCTGTATCTCGAAGACCATAAGCTGAAATGGTACTAAAATTAGTAGACAGATATATTCTTCGATTTCCAAAACAATCAAGATTTTTACAAATACGATATGAATATCGTAGCCACAATTTTCTGATAAAATATTCTTTATTATTATGACAGTTTCTATAAGATCCTTGCACTCAATCAACGCTTCGAAGAACTCTTCCCATACGTAGAGATAATTTTCAAATCTCTTTGTAGTAGGTATCTGCCAGTCGTTTCTTTTACCTTGTCTCTACCGCTCAAACGTTTTTCAATTAGACGCCAAAGACAAGTTGACGAATGACACCTCAAGAGAAGGCACTTGTCTATCCCTGCTCCCCAGCCCATAGCCACAGTCATAGCCATAGCCATAGCCTACTTCCTACCACTTGCACTTCCTGAGCAAAACAAACCACTCCCCTCCCTCCCTCTGTCACTCTCTGTTGCCTTTGTTCTGATGTCTTGGCATATTTCCGCTGGCCAAAAACTTGAGCCACTTCCTTTGTTGGTCTTCCGCCGCTCCATCGTCTAGGCTGGGTGGGGAGTGGTGGGGATGTGGATGGGGAAACTTGTTGTTTGCGTTAAGGATTTGTTGGCTTATAAATTCCTATGAAATATTTTGGACAGCACTTGAAAAGTTTCCCTCCTCGTGGCTCACTCGGTTTCTATTTGGTTTTTGGGGGGGGGGGGACCATTGTGTTCGCTGTTCGTTTGTATTAGCCGCGGCACTTTTTGGCTTTCTGGTTCTGGTTCATTTTATGTGCAAACTTTTGGGCACTCTTTGAACTTTTGTTGTTGTTGTTGTTGTTGTGTTGGCAGTGTGGGAAAGTTCTTTCGTATGCCATGGATCTCTACAGGTGTTCCCGAAACTGTTTGCGATTTCTGTTTGCTTGTTGGCTGTGGGGTGTGGGGTGTGGGGTGTGGAAGATTGATGAACGGCCAGATAGGGGATTTTCCCTTTTAAAAATTCACTTAAATGATGGATAGGAAAAGGGGCGACTCTGGCTGTGAATCAATCATAGCCAAAGCGAGCGACACATTTAAAGCTGGAAATAATATCTCGTGAAAACCTCTAGCTATGATCCATCACAAAAAGGCTATAGAAATGTGCCATAAATGGGCATGGAATTCCCTTGAAATGATGTCTCGTATTTCTCTTTGCTTAAACCCATATCAATTTCGGGGTTTTGGCTCTGTAATTGTCAGCAGAACAGAACGAGAAATGTGAAGAAAAGCTGCAGAAATTTCGGCCAAACTTTTGCTGCCTGTCTCAAGTTATTTGCTTGCCATGAAAGGGAAAAGTGGAGAGTGATGCTAGAGGTGCTAGAGAGAGGCAAGCCCAAGCCGAAGCCGAAGCCTTAATTATAAGCAGAAAAAAACCAGCGACAGAAATACAATAAAAGAATGAAAATGAAAATGAGCAGAGGAAAGCCAGCCAAAAGCAGAAAGCAGAAAGGAATTTTCGCCAAAGATAAACAGACAAAAGGCCAGTGAAAAGAGAGTGAGATAAAGCGAAAGGAAATCGCTGAGAGCAAAAATATGAAAAGATGGAGCACTGAGATACAGAAATGAGGTCTTCTGGCCGACTATTGTTATCACACGAAGTGAACGCTGCGGAGATGGAGATTTTTCAGATTTCTTTCCTGTGTTATTTCTGGGGTGCCGCCATCTCATTGCTCCCATTCCTCCAGCAGCAGCAACAGCGGCAGCAGCAAAAATATGGCACAGGACAGGGGACATCAGGACGCTGCTGCTGCTGCTGCTGCCTGCTTTTGGACAAATAAAAATGTGAATAAAATGTCATGGCATTTCACAATTACAGCGACAGCTGAAATTTACCATAGAAGGAGAGCCGAGCCGGGGGAGCCTCTCTGTCTGGGTGTCCTGTGTACCCTGTGTGTCCTGTGCCTTCAGGCCAAATGCCAAAACACCGAACGGGGAAGGAGCAGGAACAGGAATACCCCACTTTAATGGACCCTCCACTTAGGCAAAAGGAAATTGTGTGGGAAAATGGGGAAAACGAAAGGAAACCCGAAGGAAATAGACAAATTGTCGCTGACATTTTGTGGCTGGCTGCAATCAGGTCGGCAGATGGGCTGGGGATGGGCTGAGGATGGCTGGCTGGCTGCTGCCAGAAGTGCAAATTAAATTTAATATTATTATAATGCCTAGCTCTGGCTCCATTCTGCTAAATGTTGCGTTGTTTTTCTTTTATACTTTACACAGAAATCGGCTGGAATCCAATTCGGAGCACTGGAATGCCCTGCTTTTATCCCTCAGAGAACTCACCGAGTGGGTCATCCGCAAGGACACGGAATTGAGCACCCTGGGCCTGGGTCCTGTCCGCGGGGATGCCGCCAGCTTGCAGAAACAGTTGGTAAGCAATGACAGAAACGGTGGATGGGGTTTTACCTCTTTTCCCCTTCCCTTACTTCATTTTCCCCAAGGGACCAGCCCCGTGTCTCCTTTTCCTTTCCATTTAGCCCAAGTATACTTTTTTGTCAACGACCCAATTTTAACCCTTTTTTTTTGTGGTGCTTGGAATCCACTCCACTGCTGCACCTCAATTTGTTTGGTTTGCTTGGCCAACTAATTGTGTGGAAGGCCGGTTGGACTTTTGACCCGCTTTTTTCAGCTGCCAAAACAAGTTTAATGAGGCCTAAAGTGACTCGAGAGCGGAGAGTCCTGCCAGATTTCAGGGATATATTTATATGGATAATAGGCTTAAAATACTAGCTGTGATTCCCCATTTCTATCCATCGAATGCTCATTTGTAAATCAGTTTAAAACAATCAAAATAGTCATATAATCTTTTGTCATTATGCTCCTCAATCGGCATTTGGCATGTAGGCTGCAGCCCACATTGGAAAATATATATGGCTGCAGATGAATTGTTTGAGGATGTTAGTTTGTTGATTACTGTTGATTTATTGCAGCAAAGATTTCATTATGTGGCAGAGAAAGGAGCCAATCATATTTGGGCAAGGAAAACGTTTGCTGTACGATGTATCTTTGAGATTATTTGTCTTCTATTTAATAGCAGCTGTCAAGCTTTCAATTGGAGTCGATTTCCAAACCAATAAGTGCAGTGATTGGCATCTAGATTTATTAAATGATATTCCATTAAGTGCTGTGACATTCCGCTTGGCATTAAAAGACTTTTAGGTGAAAGATTATGTAGATATTTAGAAACCATTGCAACATTGATTTGAGAACATCTTAAGATACACAATACAGTATTTCAATCACGTTTAAAGTACTCTCCATCGATGCCATAGAAATATTTTCATTCACTTTCGAATGGTTATCATAAATTTTCGGTTGGTTTGCTGGGGGGTAGGGGCTGGCTAGTGCACCCACATCAGTGTATTTAATAGCCTCAACCTGGAACCTGTGTAGTTTTCTTGACCAAATTGCGTATTCAGCCATCGCCCACACACAAACACATCCTGGATACGGAATACTGGATGCTGGTGCCTTGGAATTCTTAAATAATTGTTAAATGATGCTTGTTATGTCAAAAACACGAACACACGAGGTACGAGGAGGCCGCCTTCTACCTCCTACCACACATGTGGAAGGGGAGAAGAAATCACTTAAGGGTCTCGCACTGCATGGAGTGGAAGAAAGAAAGAAGAGCCAAGAAATGCTGGAGCAGAAAAAAAAAAAACTCAAGAAGGCCACTTTCCACAGTGTGGCATGGTGGGTGGTGGGTGGGTGGGAAAATACACACTGTCTAACACAGCATGAGGCACTTGAATTTCACTTGGCCTCCCATTAGCTGGCAAGCGGCGAAATAGCGAGAGAAAAATGAGTCAACTTTCACCCCGACTGGGAGAAAGAGTGAGGGAAATCCCTTCCAAAGTTGGAGTGAGGAGAATAAGAAGCAGTGTGGAAGTGTTCCCTGCCAGCAGAGTGTGGAAAACCCCCTTCCTATGAAAAAGGAAAGCCCAAGAAAAGCAGTGGGGGGTTGGGGGTTGGGCGTAGTGGTGAGGCAACTGTGGAAAATCTATTGCCTGCCACTAAGTTACGGTCTGCCGAACATTTACATTTCGGCTTGAAGAATTTTATTTGCCAGTCCAAGAAGGACCAAGCCAAGGAATGAATGAACGCTGAATACCCAGAAGGATACCCAGAAGGAGCACAGCACAGCACAGCCACGAGAAGTCCTGTATATTGTTGCATTTTGTGTTATTTCGTGCCCCGAAAAACTAAATGCATTAAACACGAGCGAATTTATTGCCAGCAGGAGCCAGAGGCGGCAGCGGCGGCGGCAGAAAGAGAGCGAGGAGAGAGAGAGAGCGCCACTGGCCATGGCCATTCCTTTTGATAGTTTATGGGGCTTGACCACTATTTGTATGCCACATTTTCCTATGATATATGTATATATTTGTGTTTATTTTTTCATGTTCTTTCATTCATTTATTTTTGTTTATTCGCCGCTTGCAGGACGATCATAAAGCCTTTCGCCGCCAATTGGAGGATAAGCGACCAATTGTTGAGAGCAATTTAACGAGCGGGCGTCAGTACATTGCCAATGAGGCCGCCGTCTCGGATACCAGCGATACAGAGGGTAAGTTTTTACGATTCTACGATCCCCGCCCCACTTCAACCTACCACTAAGCGGCCACTAAAAGTTAATTTCGCAAATCTGCTGCTCAAGTGTGTGTGTTGTGTTTCGGGCAGCAGCTGAAATTGTGTAAAAGTCAGTGGGAAAAGTCATTTCGATGGGCTCTAAAAAGTGCAAGGGCAAAATAATAGATGAAAAGAGAGAAGAGAAAAGAGTAGAGGAGAGGCGAGTAGGGGGTGTTCTTTGAGTAAAGTTTAATGCACAATGAGTTTAAGTTTGAGTAGTAAAATCATTTAAATTTGTACAAGACTTTTGTAAGCGTTTCAGCGATCTGCAGAATTAACTTAATCAAAAATGCTAGGTGTCTGCCATGCACTGACATCTAACTGAATTGTAATTCCTAATCCCTCTGGTTTCAATCATCTCCACCACCCAACCCACCAAATACCCTTGGGCTTGTGGATTTATTTTACAATTGATTGAACTCCCACGCCGCCTCCGTTTCCTTCTCTGTGAGTTGATTTTCTCTGGCGAATCAATGAAAACTAACATGTAAGAAGAATGTGCTTTTACTATTTTACAAAAGCTTAAAGCAAAGCTCAAAAACCACACACACACACACACATAGAATGGAATGAAGTGGAGTGGAGTGGAGTGGAGGAGGAGTACACTTTGCTACGTGAGCGCCTAAAAGTAGACAACTGTTGGGCGAGTGCCCCGAGAATTGCCAATTGATTCTGCCACCACACAGCACCACACACCACACTAAACCACACGCCCCTCCCTCTCACTCTTTAGTTCTCTGTCTCTCTGCTTTTTTTTTTAGACTGTAGTTAACAATTTAGCAAATGGCTGTGTGGGTTTAAGCTCGGTTAAGGGACTTGGTAGAGGACGGCACCAACTGTTGGGGATTTCTTTTCGATTTTTTCGTGGGTGTGAGAGAGCGGTGCAGGGCTTGGGGAAGAGGAGGCGTCAACGATAATTGCGACCAGAGCAATTAGTGCGATTAGTACGCTATTAGTGCCAGTCATCAGAGAGAGAGAGAGAGAGAGAGGCAGAATTAGTGTGTGTGTGTGTCTGTGTTCCTTTTTGGGCTTTGATTTTCAGCCATTCTGATGTTTATTTTGTGGGTCACCAGACGCTCTGTCTCTCTCTCTCCCGCTCTCTGTGTCTTTGTGTCCTTGTGTGCGTTTAAAACAGGTCTAATTAATTGGTTTGATTATAGAAATTTAATTTGATCAGCTTTAGGGATTTAGCAATAGCTTTAAACTATGCTGAAAGCTCTCAATGGATTTTGTTGGTGGTTAAATTTCCAATTAAAAAAAAAAGATATACTTTCAAAATTAAAATCCAAATTATACGTGAATTGTATTCGTAGTACTATATACTACATATGTAGACCTATGTACGTATTTCCCATGCAAATCAAATTGAAAAGCGCTAAAGTTTTTCTATTTTGTTGTTGTTGTTGTCTTATTTTGAATCCAGTGACGCGAGCAAAAAGCAGCAAAACATCCAAAGCGATAAACTCAATCTTTAAATTGAATTTGAATATTACGAGAAGAAAAATTGATGGAGGAGAGGCAGAGAGAGAGAGAGCAAAGAAGGACATGCCCGGAAGTATCTGCTCCACTCCTTTGCAGTAGAAGTAGAAGGAAATTCAAAAAGTATTCAACTCTCGATATTTGCTTAGCATCACATTACCAGCTGTCCAAGGCAAGGGTCCTCCAGTACTCATCCTCGCTTCTGGGTCCTGGGTCCTCTGTCTCCTTTTGGCCATAAAAGTTGTTCAGCGTCTCCGTCCGTGCATTAAATTAAATTCGGATTTAGCCAACTTTCCATCCGCTGCTGTTGCTGCTGTTGCTGCTGCTGCTGCTGCTGCTCTAGCTGTACTTTTGTGTGTCAGTGTCTCCTGCGAGCAGCTGCCACTCTGTCTGCCTGTCTGTCCCTCTGTCAGTTGTGGAGTCACTGAATCTCCTATTGCATTTCCGCGCGTCTCGCGTCAGTTTGTCTTTCAAATTTCATGACACTTTTCCTTTTCGATTTTCCTTTGGCGTGTTGCCGGGAAATATCCCGAACAGCGTTTGGGTTTCTGTGGTTTCTCGCTCTGCGGTTCTCCGCAACGACAATCGACAGCTAATCGATGGCTTAAAGTCATTGATATTTATTTGGCTTTAATTTCCAAGGGGGGGAGGCGGTAATAGATTCCTTTTCCTGTGGGAGTTCTGCGAGTGGCAAAGTGGAAACCAATTAAATTTTCCTTTTGTTTGGGTATCCCCTGAAGCTTTGACCTGTCCATTTCTGCGCTTATTTTATTGCAAATTTAATCACAGACAACTCAGACAATCAGCATAATCAAAAGTATCTTCAAGTGTAATCATCCCAACTTAGCGAGTCATAATATCATCTATAATTCATGGACGCCTGCTCTCCAACGTGCCCCAAGAGCAGCAGCAGCAGCAGCAGCGGGAGATTTTCCTCGCAATTATATTTGCCAGAACTTTTTTCTTTGTCTTTTTGGCAGTGTGGATTTTCATAAATTTGACTTCCATTTATTTTCCTTCTTTGCAGCAAATCATGATTCCGATTCACGTTACATGTCCGCCGAGGAGCAGAGCCGTGAGCTAACACGCAGCATCCGCCGTGAGGTGGGCAAACTTTCAGAGCAATGGAACAATCTAATCGATAGATCTGACAATTGGAAGCATCGTCTGGATGAGTACATGACGGTAAGTCGAACAGATTTTCACCGACCCACCCACAAAACTTTTCCCCCACCGAAATTTTCATAATTTGATGCACAAAGAGGGAAGCTTCTTGCCCCTCCAATTTGGGCTGGGAAATTCGTGCTTCTAGTGTCACATTTTTTGCCATGGCATTCACTTTTTCAATGGGTTTTTTGCTGTGGAAAAGTGTGTGAAAAACTATTTAGTTGAACTCTCAATTTGTGTCACATTCTGTGGACATTTTCCATCGGCTTAAAGCAGTGTGAAAACAACTTGACTACAATTACATTTTTCAAGGGGGAAAAAGTTTTTTACATTCTCTTGAATCATACCCTTTCCGAAGTGGGTAAAGCGAGTATTTTCGCTGTATATCTTTAAGGGAATCTGCTGTTTGATTTCAACCCAAAAAACTACCCCTTCTTGTTCCTCTTTCTTTCTCTTTCTTTTTCCTTTTATTCTTCTTTTTGTGTGGCTAATAAATGCAAGTGTGTTTTTTATGACGTCTGTCATTCGGTTGTAACGAAAAAACAGAGCTCCACAGTACAACAAAATAATATATTCCACCACAAAACGACAGCACGAGAGTGGTTCCAAAATGGTGTGGGGGGCGCAGGCAGGATGGCACGACTCTCGGTGCTCGGTGCTCTCTGCTGTCGTTACTCATACGCACCGTAAATTTGATGCAACAATGTTTGATCGCATAAAAATGTCACACAGTCTGGTGCAAACAATGGATACACACTCGTACACAGCCAATGGGGGAAAAACAAAAGGAAAACTCGTTGTGGAGAGTGGCAGTAGCAGTATACTGCTGGCGCCGCATACAAATGTATAAAATATCAAAGCGCATAAAGTGCACATATTGTTGGGGATATTCCACTCTCACACTCCACGCGTACTCCTTTTGCGGCTGTCGAAGCGAAAATCAATGGCGCACAAACGGAAAAACAATATTCCAAAGGGAACGGAACACAAGGCACAAAACAAAAGCAAAACAAAAACCAAATCCCAAAGGCAATAGTCATAAAAATCCAGAGAAATCCAGAAAATCTAAGGGCCTACAGTCAACAGAAAAAAAACAGCCTCAAGCAACAACTGAAATAAAAGAAAAGGTGTGGAAATTTAAGGCAGGCAGAGTAACACCCTTTCTTAGAGGAGGTAAAAAGTCGGAGAATCAAACCTCAGAAAAAAGGGGAAAGTGGCATTAAATTCCGATTTATTCTTGAAAATACTTACAGCAGAAAGCAGGAGAAAGAACTTCCAGCAAAGAGGAGGAGGCATTTCCCAATTTTATGCCTCCTCGATTCCCCCAATATTTATGCCGGATATTCCATATTTTATCCTAGTTTTTATTTATCAAATTTATTTACAATATAAATCTCACTTTAGGGAGCAATTTAAGACTTTTATTGGCTCCCAATTTTTGTGGTAAACATTTTTGCAGCAGCTGCAGCAAAAGCCAGAGCCAGAGCCATAGCCAGATTCTAATCAAAGCCAAAATGTTGACCCAATTCTGGCTATTTTCGTGTTCCAATAAATTTACGATGTGCTGTACCCTTGCCTGCGAAAAACCACTTCAATTTCAAAACGAAAATTCAATGAATTTCAAATAAATAAAAAATATAAATTGGATTCAGGGAAAACTACTGCCCTGCTCCCAATCCTCTTAACAGTTTTAACCGAATTTTAATAACCATTTTGCCGCCCATGATCCTTGATAGATTCGCTTTACCTGTTGGAAAATTCCATTCGAAAATAATCTCGACACTCGGGAGGGGCAAAAAATACTCCACGAAGTACTTAACATTTTAAACCATTTAGTGCACTTTCCCTGCACTACAAACTCACCGGCGTTGCAGGTGAAAAACTCTGTTTTTTGGGTGGAAAAGTTTGGTGAACTATTTTGCGATACATTTTATCCAAAAAAGAAAACTGATAGGAAAAAACTTTAACAAAATTAACAAAGTGCGGAAAGCACAGGAAAAACAGGGAAACAAAGGAAAATAAGCTACAAAAAAAACACCGAAGAAAAGTTGGAAATTAAAAAAAAAGTTTAAATAAATGCAACTTAAAACAATTACAAGGATGCAGAGGAGGGACGACAACGTTATAATAGAAAACTTTTGCTGAGCGTTTTATGAGAGCTCTGTTCCGGGCTGGTGATGCGGCTGGGGGGTTCTGCTGCTCCTGGGGCATCGTTTTAAATGAAGTCGCCAAATAGCTGAGGCTGAAGTTTAGCCACGGACCCAGCAGGAGGCTGGCAAAGTCACAAGGATGGCCGTCCACCCATCCTGGTTAATTGACCACACACTGAACATTTTCTATTAATTGAATAAAAAGTTTTGCACGGAAAATTTCATTTGCATAGCAGAGCGGCGGGGGGAGGCAGAGAAAGTTTTCTCTCTCTCTTTTGTCCGCCTGCACATTGCACAATTTTCACCGCTCGTTGTCCCCGCCCTTTTGCGGGGTTGCGTATACGCCATGCCTAACAGGCAAAAACCGCTGACAGGAGGCGAAAAATTGGTGTTTCTTTTGGCATGGATGGCAGAGATTGCTGCTGACACGGTGGATAATGTTAATGAAATTAAAAGAGATGCAGGCAGTCAGACAGCCAGTCAGCAGATGGTAGGGGGTGGTGTGTGTCAATGAGGGATGATATATATATATATCAAAGGTAAACTCTCTAGCACTCACTGTGAGAATAACCAGTAGGTTTCATGTGAAATATCATGGGAAAACATATAATTCGGTTTCATGTTTCCGTACAAATTCAAAGATTAATCAACATGAGATAACTTCCTTTTATCTGTGAGAAATTATTCCACTGCGATTGGATGGACAGCTAGAGAGCTGTCTGTCTCTCTGAAATATCCATGGGATAACCTTCAGCCCTCTCTGCTCAGATCTGTAGCTCTCCTCCGCTGCTCTCTTTCATGCACAAAATGCCATTCCCTTTCCTTCATTCGCTGACAATCAAACATTGTAGCCCTAATGAAGTTTGATTGGTACTTGCCAATAGACAAACCCACAAATGCGGGAGAGTGGGAGGGTTCTTCCATCAAACTGCAGTTCAGTTCCCTCTCAGCCCCCTTCATTATGCCATGCCACGCATGGGCATCCCCTACTCTACCTCACCCATCGAGTGGAAGAAGGAGTGGAAGTGCATTTGCAAGTGATGCATGGGGCATGGTAAATGGGGGATGGCACACATCAACATCAATGTCACGCTCGAAAATTCCTTTGCAAATTCACAATCAACCACCGAAAGTCCTTCTGTCCATCAGTCCTTGGAATGCTGTTGCCACTGCCACATGCTAATGAAAAGGGTTTTGGGGCAGCAACAGAAATAGAGACAGAAACAGAGAGACGTGTCCGGGGCGTAAGCCAGCCACAAAACTACTTTCTGGCTCATTTGGCAAATAATGCCAGAGAGTCTCTGAATTTTATGGAGTTAACTCTCAACCAACCAACCAACTTACCAACCAACAACAGCAACATTGAGGGGCAGGGGCAGCAATGAATGAATGAACGAATGAAAGGGAGATGGGGAATCGTATCCCATGTGGCATTCTCCAAATGGTCGTCGAATGGTCGAATGGAAGTGGCATGTTGAATGGGACGCTAAAAAGCAATTGCTTAACGCTTTGAAATATGTTTCATTGATTTCCTGCTCGAAAACTGCTAGAAAAATGTGGCAAAGACGGTTCCCCTGCCGTCCGATCGACCGACCGGTCGAAGCATTGGCCATAATTTAACCACATGTGGTCGATATTGGAGTCCTGGACGCAGGATACTGGACTCTCCACACTTAACCCCTTATGTGCGGGGGGTAGCACATGCCACACAGCTGCTGCTGCTGCTTCTGCTGTTTGTGTGGCTGTGGCAGTGGCAGTGCCGAAGAGTCGTTGGCCTTTCAAAAATAATGTCACATGTGAAAGTTTCAAGTTTTCTCTTTTTTCGTGTTGCAGTTTTTGTTTTTTTTTTTTGTTTGGTTTGGTTTGGTTGCAGGACTCAGGACTCCCGCCCTCATACAATGAAATCAATTTAGAATTTTCTGTCCTGCAAAATAGTTTAATAAATCACTCATACGCAGTGTGTGGCCTGTGTCCTGTGTGTGTGTGTCCTGTGATTTACGAGCCACACTTGCCCAAAAAGTTACTCTCTTCACGACACTCGAGCAAATATTATCTATGGAAATTTTTGTGTGATTTAGCAACAGAGATTACTGCAAGGATTTGGTCCTGCTGCTGATGCTGCTGGCCAAAAAGTTAATAAAACAATTTTTGTGCTGGCATTTTCTTTTCCAAATATTTTTTAATAAATATTTAATGTCTGATGTGTGACTCTCCCCCCTTAGTCGAGACTTTAACCACAACAGAGAAAAGCTGATTGCAGCAGGCGGTCTAAAAGTGTGCTATGATTTTGGAAATTGTAAAAGATACAGATACATTTGATACAGATACAAGATATAATTTTAAGATTTAAGCTTATGTTATGCTTATGGCATATTTCTTATTATGTATCATACGGTTTATATAGCAAATACTAAACATAAATTCAAATGTGCATGCTTCAGATGCCACATGGCGCCTCCTCTGTCATTAAATCCTTAAGCATTGCTAAAAAAGTAGAACAAAAAAGATGAATCCCAGAAGAGGGAAGGAGTGACAGAGAACGAACCTCTACTATATCCTAGACAAATACTATATACCTACCACGAGTATATATATCATCTCTCATCTGTCGTCAATCGCTGGGGAAATCAATTGATTGTCACGCTAAAATGCTTTGGATGTGCCAACTCTCTCTCTCTCTCTCTCTCTCTCGCTCCCTCTCTTTTTTTATTCTCTCTATTCCATTCCCCAATCTGCCACGCCCACAATCAATGTTGTAACCGCATATTGCACTCCCCATTGTTGTTCCATGACTTTTTGTGCCATTTTCACGTTTATGTGTGTTTCCTTTTACCGCTTTGCCTTGTTGTTCTTTTACCGCTTTTCCAT